ACACACACACACACACACACACACACACACACACACACACACACATACACACACACACACACAGATACACACAGATACACACTGCTGGTTTGTTTTTATAATTGAATCATCAGCCTTTCTTCAAGGCCCGATTTAATGCTAACAACCATTTTCAGTTCCCATTAAAAATAATGATATTTTGATCCTATTACGTTGATGTGATTTTGAACCTGAACTGCAAAGATTGGATGACATCCAAAAGTTTTCCTTGTTTCTGTTATTCCTTTGTGGGGTCCAAATACCGCAAGCCCAGATCAGCAGCTCAGCTGAAACACTCGCAATTTTTTCACTGTGTAGTGTGTGTGTGTGTGTGCTGTTTCCCCTCTCACTCTTAATGTCAAATAACCCCTAACAAGTCCCATTTATAAATGATTAATAGGAGATATTAGGCACGATTAGACATTAGGCACCTCACTAACTAGATTGATATCATCTGGAGTTTTAGCCACTGCTAAATTATACGAGGCAGTCGAAAATTCCACAGGAAAATCACATGAACCTCATCACCTCACGGGCTGTTGATTCTCAGTGACTGGAAAGCCTTTAGCACACAAATAATCAGTCTACAGTATTTGTTCAGACAGCATAGAAATTTTGGGAAGACCAAAGAAAACAGCATTCAGGGGCGTGGTAGGGGTGAGGGTGTGGGTAAATTACAGTCTGGATAGAATTAAAATCAGTAATCAGTGAGCGCACAACTAAAATCAAATTAGTGCTCCTGGAGAAACAAATCCCTCTCAATTTGGAGCTTTGGATGCAAAAATCAACCCTCAGCTGAGCGTTGCATCTGTGTCAGTATGTTAGAGACACACAGTGGGAATGAAAGACAGGAGAAGATGAGGTATATTCATACCACATCCCATTAATACCCATTAATCACCAAGTCTGATTGTAATCTCATTCAGGTTCAGCAGGTTAAATAAACCCTGCCTTTGACAGTCTCTATGGAACCTGTGTTTATTGATCAACTTCTGCTTAAATACTTGTGGATTAATACTGAAGACCAGCTTCTACCAGCATGCATTACCTTCTATCACACACTGCTCTGGGATGGGGATCTGCTGCACCATTACTTTACAGAACTCTCTGATCATCTCCATATTGTCTCTTAAATGGATGAAAAGTCTGTCAGGCTCCGCCCGCTCTCCTTTCTGTCCATCCTTCTCTCTGTTTTGATTTTTCTCCACCTCTTTAGCCGCTCTGTCTAGCGGAGTGACGCCGACCAGAGAGCCATCTGTCAATTTCCTCTCAGCAGGTGAGACTTCATGGTTTTCGGAATGCTGATTAGGCAAAGTGTTGGAAAAGGCGCTATCTGTGCTGAGCTCCACCCCTTCACCATCCTCCCCTTCGTCTGAGTTGATGGACCGAGAACGCACGGCGTGGAGAGCCAGGCTCTTTGACCTAGGAGAGAGAGCATGAAGAAATTAACAGTTAAAGCGATAAAAATGTTTCTGGTACCTCTTCATCAATATTTGTTGACTGTTCTACTTTTTTCTACTTTGAGAAATGATGTCATATCCTTAAGCCACAAAGAAATTACAACTTCCAGAGTAGTGGGACATCTCACCAAGAGAGCATTTTACATCAGATGATAATGAAAGGGATCTTTTGTGCGATATATATATATATATATATATATATATAT